ATTTTTCTCACTTTTAGACACCAAGAAGTGAATGTTGTTTCACTTGGGAGTCGTTTTGCGTTCAGCTTATTACTGAACACATTCCGCTTGGGATGGCTGAAATGTAGCCAAGTGATACTGAATCCTTTTGGTTTGGATGATGATGACTACGAGGTAAGTCCTCTAAAAACGGAAAAAAATGGACAACGGAATCAACGTAAAGTAAGAAACTTACTGCAAGCTTTAGTCTTTATTGATACCACCCAAGACTATTCTATTTTGTTTTCTTCCAGAATGCCAATTACATCATTTTATTTTACGGTGGAAAATCACCACCCTGAATAAATGGCCATACCGTATATTTCAGGCAAACTCACTAGTGGACATGTATCAACGAAATTTGGCAGTAATTCTAACAAATCCAGTACAAGCACCACCAGTGCGAGCACATACGCATCAGACGCTACCGCATACAGTGGCTAGCGCTCTATTAACGTGAGGAATCTATCAATCTGATAGCTGCGTCATTGCAGCTCAAATGCAATGTTTTAGTAGGATAAGCGAGTCAAAACTGGCTGGTTCAATGGCTGGTAAAGAATATCCACTAGAATCACATGAAATTTTAAGCTCATAGAGCAACTATACTATTTTTGTAATGCAAAACAGGAATATATGCAATTACCATCTGCTTTATAATATTTTTTATGACAAATGTTCTTGGTCTCAATAAATTTCTAAGTGTTTTTCCCAAGGACTAAAGGTGGATACTGCACTGATCGTATAAGTGCGAAATGGAACATCTTCTATGCTCCGCATTTATTGTAAGACTTTATGACTGGTGCGCAATTACAGTGATGGGAAAACTTCTACGAATTTTAAGAAAAACACTTGCCCGCATCATAAAACTATTATATACAAAACTAAAGACTTAAGAGTTTCATCTACCTTGTTATGTCAAAATGAAGTTTTTAGGCGGTCAGCAATTTATTAAAACTGGCCCACTTATAAGAACTTACAATTTAGAACAAATAAAATGGAATTATTGAAAAGCACTGGATTCTTGTAGATACATGTGAATGGTCTTCTATAATCAAAACATAAAAAGATCTCAATCATGGAAAAGATATAAGCATACTAAGTTGGCTTTTTATGAGAGTTAGCACCCTAATACAATATACTGAAGCAGCTAAAAGCGATTCATCTAACTGCAACATGTTATGCACCATAAAACATACCATCAAACAATATTTGACAAATGGTCACCCGTATGAAGTTTAGCGAGATTAAGGAGTTGCTTACGCACGAGTAAAACATTACAAAGAGATGGAACAAACTGAAAATTAAACAGTGATGAGTACAAAAATGATGAAAAAACAATTCACTCATGTCACCGAAGTTCTCCACTGAGCGATCTGGAGCGGAATGAGAGCTATTGCCTCATCGCTGTCTAGCATATCGGCAGTAAGGAATTGAAAATTCTAAAACAAGTGATCTTTCAAGAAGTTACTTATAAAAAACATAAAAATAGAAAATTTCAGGTTCTTATGTAAAGGAAAATCTTTAGTACGTAGACTGAATGAAAATCAAAGATTATCAAAATGTTTCACCTGTCTAAACAGCGTACGCCCATCTGAGTGCTTCAAAACTGGTGATTCCAACGCTTTCACACTCGAGAAATCGCGATCCTCAAAACGGAACAATTCAAAAGAAATAATAAGGCAGAAACTAAAGAACGAAAGAAAGCCAACTCGAACCCTGCCTATTCCCACAACTATAATGCTCATCGGATGTGCAGAGCTGTCAACTATGGCATCAATAGTGCGCCGAGGGTTTGCAAGACCGCCGTCTGTCAGAATTAACAGCACAAAGTATAAGCCCAGACGTCGTTTACTTTCAGCTTTGGCAAATCTGAAGTATATTGATACTTTAAAGTAGTCCAAACTTTAGAAAATTAATAGCCCATCATGACCTACTTAGATACGTGATAGATCACTTCGGAAAACTCAGTTGGTGCAAATGGTTGGACCATTAATCTAGCCGCGCGATACGCATCCAGCAAACCTCGAATGCCATCTACTTGTATATCACCTTGGGGACCAGTCTGGAAAATAGTTGCAGTTCAGCTGAAGCATATTTTGAAATAAAGTTTGCAAATAGGAAGCAGACAACAATAAGTTGTCTCTTGACTTGACCTAGTAACAGGGCATAATTACAGCAATTTCAACTACTCTACATATAAGCAAACGAAAAAAA